TTGTTACCTGTATTAATGGCATCTGTTTGAACTTGTTATCAGTATAAAGACACCTGTCCACAACCTCAAACAGTCACACTCCAAACTCCACTATGGCCAAGACCAAATAGCTGTCAAAGGACACCAGAAACAAAATTGTAGACCTGCACCAGGCTGGGAAGACTGAATCTGCAATAGGTAAGCATCTTGGTTTGAAGAAATCAACTGTGGGAGCAATTATTAGGAAATGGAAGACATACAAAACCACTGATAATCTCCCTCGATCTGGGGCTCCACGCAAGATCTCACCCCGTGGGGTCAAAATGATCACAAGAACGGTGAGCAAAAATCCCAGAACCACACGGGGGGACCTAGTGAATGACCTGCAGAGAGCTGGGACCAAAGTAACAAAGCCTACAAACACACTACGCCACCAGGGACTCAAATCCTGCAGTGCCAGACGTGTCCCCCTGCTTAAGCCAGTACATGTCCAGGCCCGTCTGAAGTTTGCTAGAGTGCATTTGGATGATCCAGAAGAGGATTGGGAGAATGTCATATGGTCAGATGAAACCAAAATAATAACTTTCTGGTAAAAACTCAACTCGTCGTGTTTGGAGGACAAAGAATGCTGAGTTGCATCCAAAGAACACCATACCTACTGTGAAGCATGGGGGTGGAAACATCATGCTTTGGGGCTGTTTTTCTGCAAAGGGACCAGGACGACTGATCCGTGTAAAGGAAAGAATGAATGGGGCCATGTATCGTGAGATTTTGAGTGAAAACCTCCTTCCATCAGCAAGGGCATTGAAGATGAAACGTGGCTGGGTCTTTCAGCATGACAATGATCCCAAACACACCGCCCGGGCAACAAAGGAGTGGCTTCGTAAGAAGCATTTCAAGGTCCTGGAGTGGCCTAGCCAGTCTCCAGATCTCAACCCCATAGAAAATCTTTGGAGGGAGTTGAAAGTCTGTGTTGCCCAGCGACAGCCCCAAAACATCACTGCTCTAGAGGAGATCTGCATGAAGGAATGGGCCAAAATACCAGCAACAGTGTGTGAAAACCTTGTGAAGACTTACAGAAAACGTTTGACCTGTGTCATTGCCAACAAAGGGTATATAACAAAGTATTGAGAAACTTTTGTTATTGACCAAATACTTATTTTCCACCATAATTTGCAAATAAATTCATAAAAAATCCTACAATGTGATTTTCTGGATTAATTTTTCTCATTTTGTCTGTCATAGTTGACGTGTACCTATGATGAAAATTACAGGCCTCTCTCATCTTTTTAAGTGGGAGAACTTGCACAATTGGTGGCTGACTAAATACTTTTTTCCCCCACTGTATATATACAAAATGGACACCCCTTCAAATTAGTGGATTCGGCTATTTCAGCCACACCCGTTGCTGACAGATGTATAAAATCGAGCACACAGCCATGCAATCTCCATAGACAAACATTGGCAGTAGAATGGCCTTACTGAAGAGCTCTGTGATTTTCAACGTGGCACTGTCATCTAATGCCACCTTTCCAACAAGTCAGTTCATCAAATTTCTTCCCTGCTAGAGCTGCCCCGTTCAACTGTAAGTGCTGTTATTGTGAAGTGGAAATGTCTAGGAGCAACAATGGCTCAGCCGCGAAGTGGTAGGCCACACAAGCTCACAGAACGGGACCGCCGAGTGCTGAAGCGTGTAGCACATAATAATAGTCTCTCCTCGGTTGCAACGCTCACTACCGAGTTCCAAACTGCCTCTGGAAGTAACCTCAGCACAAGAACTGTTCATTCAGAGTTTCATGAAATGGGTTTCCATGGCCGAGAAGCCGCACCATGTGCAATGCCAAGCGTCGGCTGGAGTGGTGTAAAGCTCGCCGCCATTGGACTCTGGAGGAGTGGAAACGCGTTCTCTGGAGTGATGAATCACGCTTCACCATCTGGCAGTCTGACGGACGAATCTGGGTTTGGCAGATGCCAGGAAAAATGCAACCTGTCCCAATGCATAGTGCCAACTGTAAAGTTTGGTGTAGGAGGAATAATGGTTTGGGCTAGGCCCCTTAGTTTCAGTGAAGGGAAATCTTAACGCTACAGCATACAATGATATTCTAGACGATTCTGTGCTTCCAACTTTGTGGCAACAGTTTAGAGAAGGCCCTTTCCTATTTCCGCATAACAATGCCCGAGTGCACAAAGTGAGGTCCATACAGAAATGGTTTGTCAAAATCAGTGTGGAAGAACTTGACTGGCCTGCACAGAGCCCTGACCTCAACCCCATCGAACATCTTTGGGATGAATTGGAACGCCAACTGCGAGCCAGGCCTAATCGCCCAACATCAGTGCCCGACTTCACAAATGCTCTTGTGGCTGAATGGAAGCCAGTCCCCGCAGCAATGTTCCAACATCTAGTGGAAAGCCTTCCCATAAGAGTGGAGGCTGTTATGGCAGGAAAGGGGGGACCGACTTTATATTAATGCCCATGATTTTGGAATTAGATGTTCGATGAGCAGGTGTCCACATACTTTTGGTCATGTAGTGTATATTAAAAAAAAACATTTTAGCTGTTGCAGCACAACATGACCTTGTGGTTCGAGAGCATCTCTCTCAGCTGGGTATCACACTACCCTCAGTGCTGTTAGGAAATACCATCTGCTTGCTATAGCCATATCTCTCAAGAAAAGCCTGTACTGTAGGTCACTAAAATGTGGCTTATTATGGAAGTGTAGAACCCATATGAGGGTGTCAGATTTTCGGGTGATTTTCTGGTGCCGACTTCAGCCAACATGAGGCAATGTCACAGAGCTGTTTCCACCCCTATCACTCAGGATAGTATACCATGGTGCACACAGCTTTCTCAAGACATAGGACACATGAATGAACAAGCCATATAGCAATCAACTTAGTTTGGTTTATGTTGTTTTTTGACTTTATGAGGTCTATATTGGGCTGTCCTCCTGTAAGGACAGGCATGATTCACTAAGTCAATTGGTGAATAGGTAAACCCTGACTGCGGAACAGAAGGCATTATTTACAAGGCATTGTTCAAATACGTCAGGCGCCTCTTTTCATGCCCCCTCGCATCAAAGAGAAATATCAAAAGGTCACAATTGAGGCTGCTGACTATTTTCTGGCAAATATAGAGATCCGGTTGTAGGTTTGACAAACATAGAACTAACAGAATCCAATTAAAAATGCAAATATTTAACTGTGAATCGCATACATACAGATCAGATAAGAGCCCTTTCAAGACAGCACATTATAGGAAATATGAGGCAAATCAATTACACAATTTAAACTCAGTTCCCAATACAATCAAACCCATGGAAAACAAGTTGAGCACCAGGTAAAACCTTTAAAGCAAACAATGGATAATAAAGTAGTACAACTACATTTCTGTAGATTAGATAGTGCATTATGCATATCATCAGCCCAAGCGATCAAACTGGAATACAGCTTGTTGCATTCACCTCCCCTATTTTTTTACACTCAATTATGTACCTATAGGTTTGCAAAAATCTATTTCATGCAACTCTTTGCATGACGTAAAAAATGTGCCATATTTCTTAAATACTGCATAATAATAGTATGAGCTTGATGATTTGATGGTGTCGAGGGGAGGAGACATGAGGCTGTATGGGGTACTGTAGTATAAAATGGATATTATATTCAGTCAGTGGAGGATCAGACAGACAGAGAATAGACACAGCTCTCTATCCAGCTGAGCAGATAGATCTATTATCTATTTTAAATATATATTTCTGAAGTAAAAATAGGCTTATTTGAATATAGGTTTGTCTGGTATCATTACACTCAATGGATATTTGGAAATTCCAGCTGGTAATAGTTACCCTGTATGTCCTGGTGTATACATGCCAGGGATTGTCTTTTAGTGCTGACAAGGAACACTGGGTATCCAAAGACTGGCAGGTAAGTGACATTTAAAAAATATCCATTATCTTTGGTAGAGCATGGCGCTTGCAACGCCAGGGTTGTGGGTTCGATTCCCACGGGGGGCCAGTATAAAATAAAAAATAAGTATGCACTCACTAACTGTAAGTTGCTCTGGATAAGAGCGTCTGCTAAATTACAAAAACTTACATATGCGTTCATATAATTTATCTATTAATAATTTGAACCAAAAACGTTATTACGTAGCAATAAACGTCACAATTGGAGAGAAAAAATTAACTTATCCTTTCCCCAGGATAAGCCACTGGAGAAGACGTTGGCCAGTCAAATTGCTAGTCTGATTAAGAGATCTAAAGCCCATCAGTTCTACGGGCTCATGGGCAAACGCTCAGGTAAGCACTATAGCGTTCTTTCTGTCCCAAGACTTGAAAGGGTTCTTATTACAGGATTAAGGTAGAGTAGAATACAAATTGTATGGTGTGTACTGTATCTATGTTCAGTATGTATTATATCTAATTAACAAGCAAAGCAAATATTCAAAGCAAAGCAAATATTCAAAGCAAATCGCTTGTCTTTTTAAACTCAAATACATTTGAGTGCTTATCAGGTACCTTTTACTACAGATAATCAGCCACAGCCTATTAGAGTGAATAGAAGACATAAGTATAGCACACTGGAGCAATAAAAACACCTTTTTTTTTTATATAGTGGTAGCCTGTACAGAACACTGTGGTCCACCATCCACACACTATATTTTAGATTATTCAGTATCTAAATCCTAATCAGCAAACCAACAGTATGAGCAATTTTTCTGCATTACTTTTAAAACCTGTTTTACATTTAACATGAAAAAACAATGCATCTCCTTTTAAATGAATCTTTCCTGATTTTGTCTTCAACAGGAAATAAAGGGGAGATGTTTGTTGGACTTATGGGAAGAAGAGCATCAAGTGGGGGTAAGAATAATTACACTTCAAATAAAATCAAGGTATTTTTATTAAAAATACAAAAAAGAATGACAAAAACACAGCACAGAGAAGTAACACCTAAGGTTTAAACAAAACAGGTACCGACAATTCCAGTCGTGCGTCATGAACAAATGCTCTTTTGTTGCTGCAGAATCGTTCACGAAAATTATTCCAGATGCTACAAGCACTGCGATCGATATTGCCGAGGGATCACACACACAACCAGGTATTTCTTATATATTGATGTTATGGTTAAAACCTGAGAGCACTTTGTAACATTGTAATGTGGTTTGCACAGTAAAACTTGTATTACATTTTACATTTTTAAATGTAAAATATATATGTAAAACTTGTCTTTATGTTGACTAAATGCAAACCAAACATTTTAACGTGTATTATGTGCTATTTGTATTTCTTCATTTGGCAGATTGACAAGAGGCATGGGACCAAATCCCGTATTACTAAAGCTAGAAAAAAAGATTCAGATTTGAATGTTTACATGATCTATACAATTTTGATATCAACGCATAAAAAAAAAAGAAACAACAGTATCTCATACTTGTAAGAAAAAAAGCTATGTCTTTAAGGTATCAAAGTTCATGCCGATGATTATGGTATATTCTATCCCAAAAAATGCACTTGTCTCTGCAAACAACTGCCACTGTGTTGAATGAAATAAAAGAAAAAGCCAGGAATGCTGCAGCAGGTCAGAAGTATGTATTTTTTTTGTGGACAAAGCAAAACATTCATTATGCGGTCCACTAGAGTCGGAGCTTTCGGTACAAAGCTCCGACGGTGGTGTAAATACATTCGTAGCTTATCTTTATTTAGGTGGATTGTTTAAAACAAAAGTCATCAACTGAAATTCTCTAACTTTCATTGTTTAACAATATTTAAGCCAAGAATTGATTGAATGGTGACGAATTACTAAAATATAAATACGAGTCGAAATGTAAAACAGGGGAAGAGAGTTCCTCCAGACACAAGAAAAACCTAGCAAAGGGCAGCTATACAGGGTGGATGGAGTGATAGAAGAAAGAAGACTGTGGTATTGATAGCTGATAGGACTCCTATCCTGGCAGGAGTGATAGAAGAAAGAAGACTGTGGTATTGATAGCTGATAGGACTCCTATCCTGGCAGGAGTGATAGAAGAAAGAAGACTGTGGTATTGATAGCTGATAGGACCCCTATCCTGGCAGGAGTGATAGAAGAAAGAAGAGTTTATTAGGTGGCTCACTTGTGAGCCTTTAGCCTATGTCCCTTTGGGCGGGGTCCATTTTAACGAACTGGGGTCAATGGTTTTGTTGTTGCTGCCTCTTTTCGTCTCCTTGGCTTTCCACTCATCGATCAGGTCCTGTAAGGGGGAGTTCAAATCATTTATTGGCCTTTTACAGGAATTTGCCTCAGATTCAAGAGCACTGAGTCAAAGACGACATTAAATCATCAACATTTACAGACCCACATAACATAGATGACAACCACATAAAACAGATAGAAAGGGTTACATACGCACAAACTACAGCAAACACATGATAAATACAGTGCAAAGGATAGCTCAAATGTCCACAGGACTTCTCCTTCCCAGGTTTAAAGTGCCTAGTCTAGTGCATGTTGAGCAGTTTGATGCACCTAGGGACAACTTACTTAAGAGAAGAGAATCGTAGGGTCTTAACTGACAAACTGAGCCGAATGGGATGTTGTCATGTCGCACGCACGCACGAACAAATTGAAATGCTCAAAAAAATATGTATAACCATGGTAGCAATTGAAAGGGAACAAAGGTGAGGACAGTTCAAACATTACACTGTTGATTTTATGTGCATTTTACCTTTACTGTACTTTTTGCAATCATTTGTCGATAACGAAATCTGGAAATAGTTAAATAATATAACAAGAATATTCATGCCAAAATTTGTGGGAGATACAACATGACAAGACAAAAAATACAAGGGTTTGAGAGAAATGTCTAACTGGTGTCTCCAAATGGCCACACACACCTCTCCAACGTGTGTGCAGTAATATCAATACACTTTTATGTCTCAAATATTTTTGATTTCAATTTTTTTGATCTCCTGGTTGTGCCTTTGGAGGAACTGAAGCAAGCACATTTGTAACGGGTGGTGGTCCCGTTTAAAACATCTGTAATTTGAAAGCTATACATCGCTGTGAAGCGGAGACGCATATGTAATTTATAGTATGTTGCTGTAGCCACAGCGTTCCAATTTAAACACTTATCAGTGACCAAATCACCCATTTGGATCCCATATATGGGATCAGTGTGCAAAGGATTAACCAATGTTGATATTGTCATGACACACACACCTTCTTCGTGAAGGGGTCACATACAGTACCTGTCTCTTCAAGACGAGGTGCTTTCCCTTCCAGTACTTGAGCATCTGCAGGGACTGCAGGGTGCTGACAATGTCCACTGGGTTCACGGCTGTCTCCTGGCTGATCTCTGAACAAACACAAACATAACACACATTCAAAAAAGAGAATCCTGCCAAGAGTGTTCCATTTCATATGCTATTCCTAACCATTCAAATGCTTGGTAGAAAATCTGCTAATGTTTTCAAATGAAATTTAGGCTAACTTGAAGCCACATAATTAACAACATTAAATCATCAACATTTACAGACAACATGACATCAACCACATAAAACAGATAAGGCTACATACACACAAGTTACAGCAAATACTTGCTAAAAACTGGGCAAAATAAAGGGTAGTCTTCCCAGGTTTAAAGTGCTTATTGCATGTTAAGCAGTTGGATGCGCCTAGAGACAAATTAGTTATGAGGAGAATTGGCCTATATGGACAGGCCCAAATTATAATGTTTGTAACAGAATAAATATGAGAAGGATATGCATAACCATAGTAGCAATTGAAAGGGAACACTTTGGAGATTACGTATGTGCGTGAGTGTGTGTAACCTGAACAAGCTACATAATTTGACAGCGTCATTTTCAACCCTCACCTTTGACCCTAAACTAATTGTAGATTCTTTCCAAATCCTCTCAGCACAGTAAAGTGTGGCATTAAGGACACCATTTTTTTGTGCAAAAATTAAGTTCTATGTAAAGTCCTCTCTGTCACCTTTGATGGAGATCTCCTTGCCCTGGAAGTTGTACATGTAGCGCAGCAGCACTTCCTTCCAGTAGCTGCGGTAGCTGATGAGGCCCAGGTCCGAGAGGGGCCGCTCCGGGGAGCCCACCTTCTCCTCCACCTTGGACAGCAGGTAACCTACAGAAAGGGGATAGGGCAGGCAGGGTGGTCAATAGCAGTTCTAATAAACAATGAGATGGACTGCACTAAAATAGCAATGAGACCTGGTGGAGAAAAGCAAAACCTCAAAATTAACTGTAGTTTTGTTCTACTGCAATAGCCACTAGGGCTGGGCGTTATACCAAATTCATTTGATGAAATCGAATTGATGTTTAAGCGCGAAATTGAAAATGCACCTTCCCAATCATACACCAAGCATAAAAAGACGCATTTATATAAGGAATTGGCAACTCATTCTCATTCTGAGAAATGAGCATCTTCTTATCCAGGTAGGCCACTTGATTTCAATATCTAATCAAAGTGGACAGGCTAGCATGCTGTTCAAACAGTTGGAGACGGACAGGGTGTGTTCATAGCAGTTCAACTGTTCTACCTTGTTAGCTAGCTAATAGATCCAAGTTGGCTAGACTTGAAATATAAAGATTAGCTGACTACTCACTAGCACGTGGGCTCGTGCTTGAGAGATTGTTTGTGAGACCTGTAATGCCCGCTAATCTTTATATATAAAATCTAGCCAACTTGGGTCTATTAGCTAGCTAACAAGGTAGACAGTTATGAACACACCCTGTCCGTCTTCAAGATTTTCTATAATGCCTGCTACAAGAAGTTGGTCATTATTAGTGGGGAATTTGGGCATGTACATTTGTAAGAAAACTGGCATTTTCATAGACATACTTGAAAGCCAGATCAGTAATTATTGCAAAAAAGCAGGTTCAACTATTTTGATAAAATAATTAAACAATTAGTGGGTCTTATGGTTGTGGAAAGCTTATATTGAGCCTAGGTTTAATTTTAGATTATTGCTGACTGTTTGAAAAGCAGTGTATTTTACCTTTAAATTGTAAAACAAAGCTTATTTTAGGATTTTTAAAATAATTTTTGTATATATATCGTGAATCGCCCATAAGTAATAATAAATAATAATAATAATAATAATAATAAAATAAAAATTACAAATCTGACTTTTAGGCCATATCACCCAGCCCTAATAGCCACATAATGTAAACACAAAGAACTTGCTTTCAGGGCATATTAAAGCGGCAGAATTCTGTGTCAGCCCTTTCAGTGTTGACTGTGTATTTAATCACCAATACCCTGTGTTTTCATTCCTGGGGGTTTAATAAAATAATCTGCATCTGGAACTTCCACCTGGCTGTAGTTGCAATGAACAACCTTGCACTAATAAGAGAGAACAGGGGTAAAAAATTGCCTATAGCGACTTACTGAAGTCGATCAGCATCTTCCCATAGCCCTGTCTCATGTACTGGGGCATTGTCAGGATGCAAGAGACGTTGTAGTTGAGGAAAGAGTTCTTTTCCTGTAAGAACACAGAATATGTGTATGAGTCTCATCTTTAAAGCTAAAGTAATGACAGAGAATTCCGTAATAAAAAACAAAGCGCTATCATAAACCGTATCAAAACGTTATGGGAGACAGATTTGATTTATTAGGATCCCCATAAGCCGACGCCAATGGCAACAGCTAGTCTTACTGGGGTCCGACACATAACATAAAAAACATTACAGACAAAATACTTTACAATTGACATACATTTAAAAACATTTAAATGTAGCGTGCGTATGTGCATCTATTCAGTTACACATACATGTCAGTACATTTACACAACAAGTAGGTCACATGTGGGAGAGGCATTGTGCCGTGAGCTGTAGCTTTATTTGTTTTTTTAAACCAGGTTTGCTGTTCACATGCTCTATATGAGATGGAAGGGAGTTCCATGCACTCATGGCTCTGTATAGTACTGTATGTTTACTTCAACTTGTTCTGGACCTGGTGAGTGTGAAAAGAACCCTGGTAGCATGCCTGGTGGGGTAAGTGTGTGTCAGTGCTGTATGTAAGTTGACTATGAAAACAATTTGGAATTTCCAACACATTAATGTTTCTTATAAAAAACAAGAAGTGATGCAGTCAGTATTTTCTCAACTCTTAGCCAAGAGACTGGCATGCATAGTATTCATATTAGCCCTCTGATTACAATGAAGAGCAAGACATGCCGCTCTGTTCTGGGCCAGCTGCAGCTTAACTAGGTCTTTCTTTGCAGCACTTGACCATATGACTGGACAGTAATCAGGATAAGATAAAACTAGAGCCTGCAGGACTTGCTTTGTAGAGTGTGGTTTCAAAAAAGCAGAGCATCTCTTTATTACGGACCTCTCCCCATCTTTACAACCATTGAATCTGTATGTTTTGAACATAACAGTTTACAATCCAAGGAAACACCAAGTAATTTAGTCTCCTCAACTTGTTCAACAGCCACACCATCCATTACCAGATTCAGCTGAGGTCTAGAACTTAGGGACTGATTTGTACCAAATACACTGCTCTTAGTTTTAGAGATGTTACTGGTCACCCATTCCAAAACTGACTGCACTCTTTGCTAAGGGTTTCAGTGACTTCATTAGCTGTGGTTGCTGATGCGTATTTGGTTGAATCATCAGCATACATGGACACACATGCTTCGTTTAATGCCAGTGGCAGGTCATTGGTAAGAAATAGAAAAGAGTAGAGGGCCTAGAGAGCTGCCCTGTGGTACACCACACTTTACATGTTTGACATTAGTGAAGCTTCCATAAAAAAAAAACTCTGAGTTCTATTAGATAGATAGCTCCGAATCCACAATATGGCAGAGGTTGAATGGCCATAAAACATACGTTCTCAACAACAGGTTATGGTCAATAATATCAAAGGCTGCACTGAAATCTAACAGTACAGCTCCCACAGTTTGCTAAGAGCTGGCAGCAAGCTGATAGGTCTACTATTAGAACCAGTAAAGGCCGCTTTATCACTCTTGGGTAGCGGAATGCCTTTGGCTTCCCTCCAGGCCTGAGGACAAACACTTTCCTCTCGGCTCATATTAAAGACATGACAGATAGGAGTGGCTATAGAGTCAGCCACCATCCTCAGTAGCTTTCCATCTAAGTTGTCAATGCCAGGAGGTTTGTCATTATTGATCGATAACAATAATTTGAATTAGTCTTTCTGCCCATAATTTAATTTAAAGTACTTTTTTTCCATCATTCTTTATATCATTGATCTTGGCTTCATAATACAGTCCCTTCTTATTTTGTTGAGTTTAGTCACATCATTTCTCAATTTGCAGTAAGTCAGATGTGCAGCCAGACTCATTAGCCACTCCTTTTGCCCCATCTCTTTCAACCATACAGTTTTTCAATTCCTCATCAATCCATGGAGCCTTAACAGTTCTAACAGTCCATTTCTAAACAGGTGCATGTTCATCAATAATTGGAAGAAGCAATTTCATAAAATATTTTTTACATCATCCACATGAGTCACAGCAAAATCTTTTGTATGATCTCTTATACACTATTTTAGGCCCAGCTTTTGGAAATGTGGCTTTCCTGGATATAGCCACTATATTGTGATCACTGCATCCAATGGGTATGGATACCGCTTTAGAACAAAGTTCTACAGTATTAGTAAAAATGTGATCAATACATGTGAATGATCTTGTTCCTGTAGTGTTTGTAAACACCCTGGTAGGTTGATTAATAACCTGAACCAGATTACAGGCACTGGTTACAGTGAGAAGCTTCCTCTTGAGCAGTTAGCATGATGAAAACCAGTCAATATTCAGGTCCCCAAGAAAGTAGACCTCTCTGTTTACATCACATACACTATCACGCATTTCACACACATTATTTAGAAACTGACTGTTAGCACTTGTTGGCCTATAGCAACACCCCAAAATAATAGGCTTTAGATGAGGCAGGTGAACCTGCAACCACAACACTTCAATAACACTTGAAATGACATCTTCTCTAAGCATTACAGGGATACAGCTCTGAATATATACAGGCAACCACTACCAATGTGGAAGGAGTACAGTGGGTGGGTCCCTTGGTCTTTTTTTCTTTTTTTACCTTAGAGAAGTATCCCACCAGATGGCAGCCTGTGTTGTCTGCCTCAGTCATGACGTAGAACAGAAAGGGTTCCACGTCGTAGTACAGCGTCTTGTGATCCAGGAAGAGCTTGGCGAGTAGACACAGGTTCTGGCAGTAGATCTGGAAAAGGAAACCACACCATTTAAATTCCCCAAAGGCCTCGCCAGAGATAATGCAGCTTGTTTTATAGGAGTGCCAGGCATCCCTGTGGTTAGGTACCATAGGCTGAAATGTGAGACATGACAAAACATTTTTTAACCATGATTATGTATTTGCTCTTTAGACCAATATACATATTTTGAGAAAAAAACTGACAGAAAGTAAAGTATGAGTCCAGGGTTAGAGAAAATGAATAGGCCCCTCACCTTGTTCTTCTTGCCGTCCACCTCAAAGACAGAGATGGCTCCCTTCCTGTAGACCTCATCTCCGGGTGGATGCTTCCACACACACTTGGCCTAACAAACACACAGGGAGACAACACTATTGATTTGCTCATTCAAACCCAATTAAAGGCCCCCTCACCCAGTCTGATATTTACAACCTTATAATAATTTAAATCAATGACACACAGGAGTGATGTATACTGAACAAAAATATAAATGCAACATGTAAATAAAGTGTTGGTCCCATGTTTCATGAGCTGAAATAACAGTTCCCAGAAATGTTCCATACGCACAAAGCTTCTCTAAAATGTTGTGCACAAATTTGTTTGCATCCCCGATTAAACAGAATGATCATTACACAGTTGCACCTTGTGCTAGGGTCAATAAAATACCAATAAAAGGCAGTTTTGTCACACAACACAATGTCACAGATGTCTCAAGTTTTGAGGGTGCGTGCAATTGGCATGCTGACTGCAGGAATGTCCACCAGAGCTGTTGCCAGATAATTCAATGTTCATTTCTCTACCATAAGTAGGTCCAACCGGCCTCATAACCGCAGATCACGTGTAACCACGCCAGCCCAGGACCTCCACATCCGGCTTCTTCAACTGCGGGATCGTCTGAGACCAGCCACCCGGACAGCTGAAGAAACTGAGGAGTATTTCTGTCTGTAATAAAACCCTTTTGTTGGGAAAAACTCATTCTGATTGGCTGGGCCTTGCTCCCCAGTGGGTGGGCCTATGCCCTCCAAGGCCCACCTATGGCGGCGCCCCTGCCCAGTAATGTGAAATCCATAGATTAGGGCCTAATACATTTATTTAAATTGACTGATTTCTTTATATGAACTGTAACTCAGTAAAATCGTTTTTTATTTTTGTTCAGTATATGTAGGAAAATGATGGGGGAAAATTATCTTTGATATGCCGATGGAAACACCGCGAAAGCAACGCTACTGCCACCTTCTGGCCTGGAGTATTTTAACCAGCCTGACCGCCGATGTACAGCGCTACAGTGCCTTCAGAAAGTATTCACACCCCTTTACTTTTTCCAGATTTTGTTGTGTTACAAAGTGGGATTAAAATGCATGTCCTTTTTTGTCAACGATCTACACAAAATACTCTGTAATATCAAAGTGGAAGTCAAATTCTTACATTTGTAAAAAATCTATAATAAATAAAACACTAATATATCTTGATTAGATAAGTAGTCAATACATGTTAGAATCATCTTTGGCAGCAATTACAGCTTTGAGTCTTTCTGGGTAAGTCTAAGAGCTTTCCTCCTCTGGATTGTGCATCATTTGCCCATTATTCTTTTCAAAATTCTTCAAGCTCTGTCAAATTGGTTGTTGATAATTGCTAAACAACTATTTTCTGGTCTTGGCATAGATTTTGAAGCAGATTTAAGTCAAAATTGTAACTCTGCCACTCAGGAACATTCACTATCTTCTTGTTAAGCAACTCCAGTGTAGATTTGGCCTTGTGTTTTAGGTTATTGTCCTGCTGAAAGGTGAATTAATCTCCCAGTGTCTGGTGGAAAGCAGACTGAACCAGGTTTTCCTCTAGGATTTTGCCTGTGTTTAGCTCCATTCCATTTCCTTTTTATCGTGAAAAACTCCCCAGTCCTTAACGATTACAAGCTTACCCATAACATGATGCAGCCACCACTATTGCTTGAAAATATGGAGAGTGGTACTCAGTAATGTGTTGTATTGCATTTGCCTCTAACATAACACTTTGTTTTCAGGACAAAAAGTTAATTGCTTTGCCAAATTTTTGCAGTATTACTTTAGTGCTTTGTTACAAACAGGAAGCATGTTTTGGAATATTTGTATTCTGTACAGGCTTCCTTCTTTTCACGCTGTCAATTAGGTTAGTATTGTGGAGTAACTACAATGTTGTTGAGACATTCTCAGTTTTCTCATATCACAACCATTAAACTCTGTCACCATTGTTAAAATCCCTGAGCGGTTTCCTTCCTCTCCAGTAACTGAGTTAGGAAGGACACCTGTATCCTTGTAGTGACTGGGTGTATTGATACACCATCCAAAGTGTAAATAATAACTTCACCATGCTCAAAGGGTATTCAACGTCTGCTTTTTTTTATTTTATAGGTGCCCTTCTTTGCGAGGCATTGGAAAAAACCTCCCTGGTCTTTGTGGTTGAATCTGTGTTTGAAATTCAATGCTCGACTGAGGGACGTTACAGATTTATTGCACACAGAGTGAGTCCACGCAACTTATTGAGCACATTTTTACTCCTGAACTTATTTAGGCTTGCCATAACAAAGGGGTTGAATACTTATTGACACAAGACATTTCAGCTTTTAATTTTTTATTAATTTGCCCCCCCCCCCCCCCCCCCCCCAAAAAAAAAAAAACATAATTCCACTTTGACATTATGGGGTATTGTGTGTAGGCAAGAGACACAATTTTTTCAATTGAATCCATTTTAAATTCAGGCTGTAACGCAACAAAATGTGGTTAAAGTCAAGGGGTGTGAATACTGTATGTATTAGTGATGCACGGATCAGCTGTTTGTTCACCCGCAATTGCTAATAACCCCTAGCAACCGCCCGACTATATGTGATAAAGTGAAAAGCTCAGGCCCGCACCCGACCCTAACCCGTAAATAGAGAAAATGCGCTGTACAGTCAGAGATGCTGGAGCTATTTTTTGACAGGGGGTGCGGGATTTTTATGATTATTTATTTAGATAGGCCTATGTTTCTGCTTATAATTTTCAACATTTTGGTAGGCTATTTGATAAACTTGTCTATAATTAGATACATGCAGCTTCCCTTCTGTCATTACTTGTTGCCCTGCATCAATAAAATGAATTATTCAATCTAGTTGACATCGGTAAAGTTCTCTTTTATCGCTGCTTCTCTCACGCAGCAAATAGGTTTAGAGACCCAGGGAGAAAATGCAATAACAACAAAAAGAAGTGGAAAGATTCTCCGTGCGACATTTTCAAATGACATCAGCAGACCTGCCAACCTTGAATATTTTTGATGAGTACCACTTCAGTGCAGTGGCGGCACCACAGGACCCCACGACGGCGCACTTGCGACACCCACACTGCTCAAAGCATAGGCAATGCACCTTTTTTAGCCTAATAATGATGTTGGCAGAAGACTCTCAGTAGGAATGGTAGGCTACAGACTGTTATGGGTACTTGGTAATTAGCTGTTCTTCAGCAGCAAACAAGAAATATGTTTAGATGCACAATCAGGGCTCTCCCTAGGATTTTCTGACAAGGTGGTGCTGATGTAGGCTTAAGGTTGGGTAGGGGGAGGGCAGGAGGGGTCAGTCAACTTCCCCCTCAGGAAATTGGAGCATTTTTCATTTTTTTAAAGCCTGTAACTGCCATTTCTTAAATTCTATCAAATAATTTAGCCAACACAGAAGCTTTTTTTATATTTTTTATCCTAAATTAAATTGAGGTGGTCTCAATTACACATTTTTCTAGGTAAAATTTAGGGGTAATGATTATTCTAATTAATAGGTGTCAATATGTAGATAGTCTAGTGAAAATGTAAACTGACATAAAACATTTTTTTATGAATAATTCAATTACTGGATGCAATGTAGTAGTCTAGTTTACTGTAGGCTATTTAGAATATTATGAAACAACTGAACTACGCCTATATGTTCCAGATTTCCATCCCTATCCCTTGTTCCAGATTTCCATCCCTGACCTAATCCATCAAATTAGGTCTGACTACTAGGCTACCATTCATTCAACATGCCTCGTCATTGGTGAACTGACTATTATCACATCATTAGCAATCTACTGTTGACATACAGCTATATCAAGAGGACAGATCAACTGATTAATTAACATAGGCCTACTAATCTTTCACAGTCTAACATAACTTACTGTGAAGGTCGTATTAGCGGAACAGTCTGTTTCCATCCAGGCAGCGATGCACACTGAACTACCACAACACTGCACGTTTTCTTGCTTGTCATGCGCTCGCGCCTCCTACGGTTGCGGAGATTGAAGCATGTGCGGGCAAGAAAGTGCTTTCGCTTCGTTGACTAAACGCTGTAGCTAACTACCTTCTTCGTAATGACACCTTGGCTTAGGAGCTAACTCTGAAATAGTGGTTGTGCTTGACTAACACATACAATTTCAGAAAATGTATTTCGCAAACAGTTCGTTCTCCATTTCCCTACCCTTTTTTCTCACACATCAGTGATATCAATGGACGAAGTGGAGGGCTGCCATCCAGCTCGAGGGAGGAAAATAGTCAGAGATGGCACCACAAATCCAAGAGTGATGTGGCAAAACAAATATTCTGGGGCGCGTAGTTTTTCCTGATCTGATAACCTACCCAGGTAAAACCCCGGACCTTATACGGTATGATGTGATTAATCTGTTGTAAAAAGGTTTAATATGGGCTATGATGGGACTAGAGTTTTTCCTAATCAGGTCATATGTTGTTGTTTTTTACTCCTGGCCTTGAGGAGGATGGTGCCCAGGACCGAGTTTGGGGAACCCTGGGCTAGACTATGCAGCAGCTGTTGTTAGTAGCCTACAATTGATCAGACTGAAAAATCGTCTCGTTTCCATGCAATACAGCATGTCAGATCGCTAATGTTTAGGTGTATAGGCGTCTACATTTATGTACGAGTTTTTGCTTGTGTCTGTCGGGAATTATGTGTTATCCGCTTGCTAAATAAATACCAGAGGAAAGTGGAGAGCGCACTTTGTGTGTTTTGCCACGCCCGCGCGACCTGCGATTTCTGTGAATCTGATTGGTCAAGACACGCAAAGAGTGCAGTTACATGCACACAATAATACGATTATTGTGGATAGTCAGATTAATATAATAGTTCGATTAAAACGTTTACATGCTTTGCAAGAAGAACGATTTCCCTAATAATCCGTTTACATGGACACATCTGAAATCAGGCTACCTGATGGCACTCTGAAAATGCAGAAAATCGCCAATCAAAATAAACATTCTACCACAGTGAACATGTTATTTTTTATTCAGATTTCGGACATAAAGTTTGTATACGAAAACTACTTCTAAGACGCATACATTCAGTTGTTCCAAACACACTTCATCCGCGCTAAACAGGGAGGCTCGCTGGGCTGGTGCTAGCACATGCTCAGATCAAATACACTGCTGGACGCCGATTAAGGTGTTTACATGTCCTAATAATTTGAAAGATTGCTCAGAAAACCAGGTGTTTTAATCGGCGTATTCTTACTTCGATTTTGACCTTATGCCGATTAAGATAAGCAGAGTAAGGTGATTATATGATTATTGCATAATCTGCCTACTGCCATAATCAGTTTAATATTTAATTACATTTTACATTTTAGTCATTTAGCAGACGCTCTTATCCAGAGCGATTTACAGTTAGTGAGTGCATACATTTTCATACTGGCCCCCCGTGGGAAACGAACCCACAACCCTGGCGTTGCAAGCGCCATGCTCTACCAACTGAGCTACATCCCTGCCGGCCATTCCCTCCCCTACCCTGGACGACGCTGGGCCAATTGTGCGTCGCCCCATGGGTCTCCCTGTCGCGGCCGGCTACGACAGAGCCTGGATTCAAACCAGGATCTCTAGTGGCACAGCTAGCACTGCGATGCATGGTACGCAAAATGCGTGCAGGTTGGCAGGTCTGCATTAGTTTGACCAGTTTTAAGGGAATTAAAAGCTGTGAAAACACTACAACGTATTTCTGATAAGATTTTAGTTCGGCTTGGATGCATATTTTATGTGGTTGAAATACTATCAGCTTTTATGATGCTGATAAAGATAGAACCTTTAGATACGTTCCCTAACCGCGCATTCATTCTCTCAAGATTCTGAAATAAATACATTATATTTCTCCACTCCTGTTCCCGAGTCAAAATGTACATTTGGTGTAACATTTTGCTGCAAGAACTGCTTAATTCTGCAGGAGTTAATGTTATACTAGGCTATGTGAGCAGTTATAGACCTACAGTCAATGTCCAGATTTCAGTTACTATTCCATTTAACCCATCTGAACAGTACAGTTCCCTTGGCCTGCCATATTTGAAATCCCCGTCTTGTGACTGTCCAATCTGTATAGCGCCTCACAATCATCACACATAACATAATAATAATAATTGGATCGACTAACTTTTTCTGCCCAAGTTCCCAAAAGCATTTAGCAAATGGTGTGTATTTGGTGCGCGTACAGTTAAGCCTAAGCTTTAGGGCCTACGCACCAACTACAGATAAAAATGATGAAAGAAAAACCTAAATGTAGCCTAAAAATATGAACTGCACAAGAATTATACATTTTGAATTTTTAATGCATTTTTTTCTCTTTATTTAACCCGCCAGCCACCCACCTTTCATACACACAATATTTAATGACCCCAAACCCGCCCACAACACAGATATAACCGCAGGGACTGTGGGTTATGAGTCAACCCACGCATCACTAATGTGTACACAAAAAAAAGCATTGACTGACATTCTGGGCAGAGGTATACTGCAGCCGACAGTCTTGGTGGTCTGTTCAAACCTTAAGGGTGTAGTTACACGTAGCAAATTGGAAGCAGCTTTAGTTGCTTGCAACTATGTTGTATTTTGATTTATTTGTGTAACACCCCCTGCCACTGATAAGCAATTAATCTGCGACTTGGTTGCATCCAGTTGCAAACATTTCAACTTTGTGCAACTAGTTGAAAGAAACAGCCAATCAAAACAAAATATTTTGTCACATGATCCATTCCAAGGTTCGGAACCCTATGTTGTCATGTCAACACAGCTACCAGTGCTGCGAGAACCACTATCAAGGTTGACAGAAGAGACATTAGCCAAACGGGAGCTGTATAAATAAATATTGGCACCATGGTTAGTAAAGGTTTATGTACATGGTTTGGCAGTCAATAAATGTAATTTCTTAGGTTAACCCAGACCTCTCTCTGACCAGTTTCAACTGACATTGTCCAACATGAACTGCATTAGTTGGCTTAGCTCGTTGCTAGCTTGGTTAGCTCGTTGCTAGCTAGCTAGCTTGATGAAACAGTGCTGGCAATTTTATTTTGGCTAGCTAGCTAAATTGTACAGCCAGCTTTTTATCTAACTCGATCCTTATACAATAACCAACCCGTTGGATGAACAAATAATTTGTGAAATCACAATGTAACACAGCAGATGACATTGGGTGAGTTTAGAATTCCCAAATATATGACAAAAGTAGCTTCAATTTGATTGGCTGTTGCATGCTATTTCAATCATTAAGCATCTCATTAAGCATCTCCAATCAAAAGTTAGATCTAGAATCGGCTTCCTATTTCGCAACAAAGCCTCCTTCACTCATGCTGCCAAACATGCCCTCGTAAAACTGACTATCCTACCGATCCTTGACTTCGGCGATGTCATTTACAAAATAGCCTCCAACACTACTCAGCAAATTGGATGTAATCTATCACAGTGCCATCCGTTTTGTCACCAAAGCCCCATATACTACCCACCATTGTGACCTGTACGCTCTTGTTGGCTGGCCCTCACTACATATTCGTCGCCAAACCCACTGGCTCCAGGTCATCTATAAATCACTGCAAGGCAAATCCCTGTCTTATCTTAGCTCACTGGTCACCATAGCGACACCCACCCGTAGTCTGCGCTCCAGCAGGTATATCTCACTGGTCATCCCCAAAGCCAACACCTCCTTTGGCCGCCATTCCTTCCAGTTCTCTGCTGCCAACGAACTGCAAAAATCTCTGAAGCTGGAGACTCTTATCTCCCTCACTAACTTTAAGCATCAGTTGTCAGAGCAACTTACCGATCACTGCACCTGTACACAGCCATTCTGAAATTAGCCCACCCAACTACCTCATCCCCATATTGTTATTTATTTAGCTCATTTGCACCCCAGTATCTCTATTTGCACATCATCTTTTGCACATCTATCATTCCAGTGTTAATACGAAATTGTAACTATTTTGCACTATGGCCTATTTATTGCCTTACTACATTCGCACACACTGTATATAGATTTTCTGTTGTATTTTTGACTTTATGTTTTGTTTACCCCATATGTAACTCTGTGTTGTTGTTTTTAATCGCACTGCTTTGCTTTATCTTGGCCAGGTCGCAGTTGTAAATGAGAACTTGTTCTTAACTGGCTTACCTGGTTAAATAAAGGTGACAAAAAAATAAAAAATAATAATAATAACGCATTTGAGTTGTTTTGTGTATCAGCAAAGTGGCTTGAGAGGATGTCACTCGTAACCTGCAACTGCAACTAAAATTACGTGAAAGTTGCTTTGTGTAACCCCAGCCTAAGAGGTGATAAGCCTGGTCTTCATTATCTTACCATGTGTCGTCTCAGAATGGTCTGGCTCTTCATGTACTTGAGGCAGAACTCGCAGACGTAGAGGCGTCCCAGGCGGGCGTACTCCTCAGGGTAGGGCGAGTGGTACCAGGTGTCCAGCTCGTAGCGGCCGAACAGGATGGTCTTGATCATGTTGCTGCCCTCCGTGATCTGGCCCTGGATCCGCAGCTTCTCCTGTGGTGTTTTCAATAAGTGCGAAACAAGAGAGGTGAAATATGAAATTCTTCTAAACAACCAAGATTACCTTATCTACAATACAATCTATATCACTATTGGTTTATTATGAATGAAGGAAGTAGGTGCACTGAGGTTTTTCTCTTACCAGATCTTCAGATGCACGTGCCTGGGCTTTTCTGAAGAGCTCCAGGTCATATTCACTAGTGATGTTCTCCAGAAGAGGTTCTCTGGTGTTGCCGTGGCTCTGTCGATGCTCCTGTGGACGAGATGGAGAAATAAAACGGTTGGGTGATGGAGTGCTGATTGTGTCAATAAACAAAGTCTACATGACAACATCACAAAATACCAATGACTTTAAAGGGCTTCAAAAGTCTAAGTAAATACTTATGAAAAAACTACTTTTGAAATACGTTTAAAATTCTAAGATACCAAAATGTAAGATCTCCATAGCAAACATAATTGTCCCTCTAGTCATTTGAATATGTCTCACCATGTATTTCTCCTTCTGCTCCTTAGACTGCCCAGAGTTCCTGCCCTTCCTCATTTCCGTCACCTGCTCTTTGTATCTTGTCTGTCTTGACGTGGGCGTCTGGTGGACACAACAGGATTTCATTGTGATTTTAGCTTTTTTCCCCCCTTCCAACATGATAAAATGTATCACCTTAAAAAGTATCAAGATTAATTTGATTAATTTGACCTGGTGTCGTGTGGCGTGTCTGTTGCTGTCCTCCTGCACCTTTGTCTCTTCTTCGTGTTTCTCGCGAGTGGTTGCTTTCACCTGTCAATAAAAAGGATGAATACATTTATTGGGGGTTTGATTCTCTGTAGCTCTCATAGTACGAGACAATGAAGTTAATGTACCTCAAAAAACACATAACCAATGGCAAATATTGTTCTGACATGTACCTTGCATTCATCAGCAGAGAGGTTGTGGTAAAGTGGGCATCCTGATACCGCAAAATGCCGTTCATGTTTCCCTGTTAGATGTCCTGTGAGAAACAAGAGAGACAGAAAAGCATTGAGTTTACAGAGAACACATTTGATTGACCAGAGATATTTCATAAAAATAATCATAGGGCCTCCCGAGTGGCGCAGCGGTCTAAGGCACTGCATCGCAGTGCTTGAGGTGTCACTACAGACCCGGGTTGAACCCAAGGCTGTGTCACAACCGGCCGTGACCGGGAGTCCCATAGGGCGGCGCACAAATGGCCCAGCGATGATCCGGTTTAGGGGTGGGTTTGGCCGGGAAGAGTTTGGCCGGGGGGGCTTTACTTGGCTCATCGTGCTCTAGCGACTCCTTGTGGCGGGCCGAGTGCCTGCAGGCTGACTTCGGTCGTCAGTTGAACAGTGTTTCCTCCGACACATTGGTGCAGCTGGCTTCCGGGTTAAGCGGGTGGGTGATAAGAAGCACGGTTTGGCGGGTCATGTTTCGGAAGACGCATGACTCGACCTTCGCCTCTACTGAGCCCATTGGGGAGTTGCAGCGATGAGACAAGTTCGTAATTGGATCGCAATTGGACATCACGAAATAAGGGAGAAAATAAAAAATACAAATAATAATAACAATAAAAATATATAACAAAATAATCATAACAAGATTGTTGAGCATCCACTAAACTAGCAGTGGTGCCACTAACCAAATGATCACTTATCTTACCCAGTGAGTTGCATCCCGGCGTGGGACACTTCATGTTAAAATTGTAGGTCTCATGGCAGCGTCGGCGCTTGGGCCGGTGGGAGAGGTCCTTGTCGGAGTCTCTGAGGGCAGGGTCTTTGGCCAGGCTCTCATCGTGGGAGGCATTGGGGCTGGAGATGTCCAGCTCAGACTCAGACGATGGGGCGTTGCCTGTAGGCGTCAACGGTGGAGACTCATCTTGCTTCACATCTGGTGTGCCTACATGGACAGGTGGGAGAAACACCACAACATTTAGCTACAAGGCCAATGTATAGGGTGTCCAATAAAATAAAATAAAAATGGGGACCAATGGATAAAACAATATGTTAATTGTGTAGATACTCCTCTAAGAAAAACAATGCTCCATGTCTATCATGTTCAAACGTTATTGGAGTTTTTACCCTTGTAGGATGGCCAAAATTAGGGAGAATAATTCAATAGAGGCCAGAGAAAAAAAGTGGTCAAAAATCTGGAAAATAGCATTGCGTCAGCTAGGCTGGATTCTGTGCGAGAATTAAGGCTAACTGACAGGCTCACCGTTGAACTCGTCATCTTTCTTCTCGAATCCGGAGAACATAAAACAATATAGAGGTAAGATAGATATCGATTTTGTGACATGACATGTAGTATTTTCATATTTTAGTATACGCTTTTCATATTCATGCGAAATTCCTGTCACAAAAACAAGCGTATCTTTGTGAAATGTCAATGGAGCACTGAGCGTACCGCAATCTTTATATTTTCAAAGCCTTTTACATTTAATTAGGCTCATGTCATGTTAATTTTGCGACCCGTGGAAACAACTTTGCAGACGACCACCACAACATGTAAAATCCTCAAAAGTCGATGCGAGAATGCGGCAGAGCTCTGTCAACAGAGCTCGGTGCTTATTATCGGATATGTTAGGTTACGAAATCTGACATTTTGGATATAACATTAATGATATGCTAGAGAAAGACCCCACTGAACGATTCAGAACATGAAGAATCATATTTGTCTTGGTAAAATTTATTTTATAACACAAGGAAGTAACATTTCATCACCAAAGTGCATTTTCACCCACTCTGGGCAGAGTGGGTGGCAGAGTTTCCGTTAGCCGGTAACAACCGGCTTTTGTCCATTAAAAATATTGATAATCTGATAAATAAAATTGGTGCCGGCCAATTGTCCGGGAGAAGCAGAAAAAAATCTCTACTTCGAAATAATACTTTTTAGCCTAGTCATTGATGGAAATACCAGTCGATGTAATTTGACTGGTCATGCTTATCGGTCTAGGTTAATTTGCATAATTTAGTGGAATTAAATTGGCGCGTGTGTACAGTATATTCGATATGTAGCCTATCTTATTTATTAGATGCGTACTGCATACAGATATAGAGCCTTTGATTGGTAAATCTGTCAGACAGCGCAAGAGCTGCTGCAGCAGTATCTTTTGGTGCTTTCAAGACAACTGGGAACTCTGAAAAATGCGGCGTCAAATTATGACGTCTAGAAAGAGGCCAGAGTTCGAGTTGGAATTCTGAGTTGGATGACCGTTCAAAACAATTTTCCCCCCAGTTGGAGCTAGTCTTTTCCCCAGTTGTCTTGAACGCAATGAAGTCAGAAGTCTGAGATTTCCGAGTTCCCAGTTGTTTTGAACGTGGCATCAAACTGCAACGGAAGGCAGGCTTCATCAGCGCGTCACACACCACTTTGCAATGAGCTGGAGGCAGTATGTATTTTGAAAACATATACTTCATTGGTTGAAACCTTAATGTTTTAATACATATTATGAGGCATGTCATACCTTGCTTCAAAGTAGCCTATTAGATCTCCACTCTTTCTAAATTTCTAACGGATATTGTCTTCTCTGTTACATGAAACAACTCGCATGTGCAGTGCCCTTTTGACAACGCTGTTTTCCCGCTAATTGCATTATGGAATGAACATTCACACATAGCCTACTGCCTTGTAGGCATTGCTGCATTTATAATGTGAAGAAATAATAGTTTATCAACATTTTAAGATAAAGGTTCTGATCTGTTGCATCAGACTCATTGGTTTTAACCAGGTGTTTTTATGTAGCCTAGGCCTGCTGGTTGTATGAATTTGGCCTCAATCGTCCCACAACTGTCCCAGAGTCTGTTTGGAATAGGCTATTTCTTTCTCAACAAGCTGACCAATAGAATAGGTAGCCTAAAAGTATATACTATGGTAGATTGACATTGGCTAGTGATTTAGCTGTTTGTTACTTGTCTTGTTGGCTGAGGAAAAGTACATGTGGACAGTTATTCTAACATGTTGAAAGTGCACATCAAAATTCAGTAAGAAGGACCGCACATTGTTGCATCCTCGACTTACATGTTCTATTAATATATACCATATTCTAAATGTGATTTCTGTCATTCTGAGCACCGTGGGTGGATGCCCTAATCAGGTTACCCACCCAATGCATATGGGTCCGGTACATCTTAAATGTCCAGTAAATAAAAAATTTGCCGGTCTAATGTCCGGCGCCACATTTTCCTAACAGAAACCCTGGTGGGTGGACACCCTACAATGTAGGATACAATAATGGAATCTTTTAGCAATTCTTAGCCCTCACAAGGTCTCCTAGACAGGTGACTGTCTCATTGTTAGCTAGCCTAAATATTTCAGTTGAAATGTAGGTTTTGATTCACACCTAAAGCATCCATCCCATGGCTTTACCTTGTGAGCTTTGGCTGAGGCGCAGAGATGCTCTTGTGAGGCGTGTTCTCTTGGGTATGTTTCCATCACTCTCTGAGCTGTTTGTCTGTTCCCGCTCAGCAGAAGAGTCTGAATCTTCAGTCCCATCAGAGCCGCTCCCCATATGCACACTCTGTGAGAGAATGAAATAAAGCAGGATTAGTAAGGGTAATGCTAGGTAGCTAGAACAGAAGATAGCTAGCTATTTTATTTATTTATTTATTTTACCTTTATTTAACTAGGCAAGTCAGTTAAGAACAAATTCTTATTTACAATGACGGCCTACACTGGCCAAACCCGGACGACGCCGTGCCAATTGTGCGCCATGATGGCTCTAACGTTAGCTATAAGTTAGCTTGCCAGAAGATACTGACCCTGCCGTTAAGCTTGTTTACACTGAGCTGCACCGAGGTCGCAATCATGGTTACATTAAGACATGGAGCCGGTGCGAGACATAGGTCGAAAAACGTACCTCAATGCAGGGATGGGATATGCCACTGCACTCCAAATTGTACCTTTATCCACACTGATACATCGAGAAGATTGAAATACTGCTAGTTTTCCTGGAAAACTACCCTTTCTGTCCTCATGCTAGCTAGCAGTAGCCACCACAGCCATTTTGGAATGGCAGTGTCAACCAATCAGTTCCTTTGTTGCTCAACACGACGTGCCATTCCGTAATGTTTTCTGTGGCTACTGGTAGGGTGTTAAGGGACAAAATGAAACTGGGGTTCTGGTGTTATATTTTGTATTTCATGTTATAGAGAAGCTTATTAGAAAAACACAGAATACTTTATTTCATGAGGATAGGACTTACCATTGCTGAGATAACTAATTATCAAGTGATCGGAAAAGGTCAAAAAGATCGCAGACAGATTAATGTTAATCCCTAGTCAATGGCCCAAATGGCACCAAATGACCTGTCTGGATTCTTAAGTTCTACACATTTTGTCCAATATCTCAAGACAGGGTGGTCATATTGTTTACAAATTATTAAATAAAAATGCTATATTCTGCAAATTAGGCAGTACGGAATATATAATTACAGTCATTTAAGACCAATAATCAAATCAAATGTTATTTGTCACATGCGCCAAATACAACAGGTGTAGCCCTTACAGTGAAATGCTTACTTACACGCCCTTAACCAACAATGCAGTTCAATAAATAGAGTTAAGAAAATATTTACTAAATAAACTAAAGTAAAAAATAAAAAGTTACAATAAAATAACAATAACTAGGCTGCCAGGTCTCTGACCTCCTCCCTATAGGCTGTCTCATCGTTGTCGGTAATCAGGCCTACCACTGTTGTGTTGTCAGCAAACTTAATGATGGTGTTGAAGTCGTGCTTGGCCACGCAGTTGTGGGTGAACAGGGAGTACAGGAGGGGACTAAGCACGCACCCCTGAAGGGCACCTGTGTTGAGGATCAGCGTGGCAGATGTGTTGTTGCCTACCCTTACCACCTGGGGGCGGCCCGTCAGGAAGTCCAGGATGCAGTTGCAGAGGGAGGTGTTTAGTCCCAGGGTCCTTAGCTTAGTGATGAGCTTTGTGGGCACTATGGTGTTGAACGCTGAGCTGTAGTCAATGAACAGCATTCTCACACAGGTGTTCCTTTTGTCCAGGTGGGAAAGGGCAGTGTGGAGTGCGATTGAGATTGCGTCATCTGTGGATCTGTTGGGGCGGTATGCGAATTGGAGTGGGTCTAGGGTTTCCGGGATGAAGGTGTTGATGTGAGCCATGACCAGCCTTTCAAAGCACTTCATGGCTACCGACGTGAGTGCTACGGGCGGTAGTCATTTAGGCAGGTTACCTTCGCTTTCTTGGGCACAGGGACTGTGGTGGTCTGCTAGAAACATGTAGGTATTACAGACTCGGTCAGGGAGAGGTTGAAAATGTCAGTGAAGACAATTGCCAGTTGGTCCACGCATGCTCTAAGTACACCTCCCGGTAATTTGTCTGGCCCCGCGGTCTTGTGAATGTTGACCTGTTTAAAGGTCTTGCTCACATCGGCTATGGAGAGCGTGATCACACAGTCGTCCGGAACAGCTGTGCATGTTACTTGCCTCAAAGCTCGGTGAGGATGTTGCCTGCAATCCATGGCTTCTGGTTGGAGTATGTACGTATGGTCACTGTGGGGACGACATCGTCAATGCACTTATTGATGAAGCCGGTGACTGAGGTGGTATACTCCTCAATGCCATTGGATGAATCTTGGAACATATTCCAGTCTGTGCTAGCAAAACAGTCCTGTAGCGTAGCATCCACGTCATCTGACCACTTCCGTATTGAGCGAGTCACTGGTACTTCCTTCTTAAGTTTTTGCTCGTAAGTAGGAATCAGGAGGATAGAATTATGGTCAGATTTGCCAAATAGAGGGCGAGGGAGAGCTTTGTATGCGTCTCTGTGCGTGGAGTAAAGGTGGTCTAGAGTTTATTTTCCTCTGGTTGCACATGTGACATGCTGTTAGAAATGAGGTAGAATGGATTTAAGTTTCCCTGCATTAAAGTCCCCGGCAACTAGGAGTGCTGCCTCTGGATGAGCGTTTTCCTGTTTTCTTATGGCCTTATACAGTTCATTGAGTGCAATCTTAGTGCCAGCATCGGTTTGTGGTGGTAAATAGACAGCTACGAAAAATATAGATGAAAACTCTTGGTAAATAGTGTGGTCTACAGTTTATCATGAGGTACTCTACCTCAGACGAGCAATACCTCGAGACCTCCTTAATATTAGACATTGCGCACCAGCTGTTATTGACAAATAGACACCCCCCAACCCTCATCTTACCAGACGTAGCTGTTCTGTCCAGCCGATACACGGAAAACCCAGCCAGTTGAATATTATCCATGTCATCGTTCAGTCACGACTCCGTGAAACATAAGTTATTACAGTTTTGAATGTCCCGTTGGTAGATAGTCTCGAGCGGAGATCATCCCGTTTATTTTCCAGTGATTGCACGTTGGCCAATAGAACGGATGGTAGAGGCGGGTTACCCACTCGCCGACGAATTCTGACAAGGCACCCCGATTTCCGCTCCCTGTATTTCCGTATTTTCTTCACACGAATTACGAGGATTTGGGCCTGGTCTCGGAGAAGCAGTATATCCTTCGCGTCGGATTTAAGGTAGGCTGGTCATATTATTAACACATTGTCATTATTTATGCAAAACTGAGTTTGTAACAATTTGTAACATTTTATGAAATTAAAATACTACTTTTTATACTACTTTATGCAAATTAGACACTTACACACACTATCCCCACACACAGCACACCCCACCAACACAGACACAGCCTTACACAGACACACACTTATCAGCAAGCCCACACACTCACACAGCAGCATCCCCACCAACACAGCCTAACACAGACGCACACTTCTCACTAAGTCTGAACTGTAACACAGAAGGCTACTAGTCTATAACTTAGCTTACTTCTGGTAGGCCTAGAACTGTGTTGGGTTACATTGTAATTACATTTTTTGGTGTTTTTGAGTTAGTTACTCTGGTGATGGGAGGATAAACTAGAGGAAAGAATTAGCCTAGCCTTAGCCACAGAGTGAGCTGCCCAGAAAGATAGATGGGACAAATGTTTTATTCACTGGTATTTAGCTTTGTTTTTATCGAATGTAGGGCTGTAGCAACTCAATTCTGGTAGTTTACTTGAAAGAATAAGAAAATAATCAATCACAAAATTCGCCGCTGGCACCCGGCTCGGTGCCTCAGCAAACAGCGTCAGGCACTCCCACACAGCTAGCAAACTAGCACTCGTCATGGAAATGAGGGTGGCGAAACTGAATTCTTGTGCTGAGCGATTAGTGCTTTTTGAGGTCGGTTTTCGATTTCATGTATTATTTGGGTTGAAACAATTAATACAAATCCCATGATGGTAGTGACTGCCCATTACTGCTTATCACTTATTAACCATCATTTATTCACATTACTTTAATAAAATATTTCAGTTGTGTATATTACATTTGTTTCATTTGATGACTATTATTTCATTCCAAGTCATCATCTCTATAAAGCTGCTGCCTACGCTGTCTGACAAAAATCACTATTTTAGTAAATTAGGCATACTTTTATGACTGTTGAATACCAACTATTAATCACTTACAGTGGCTTGCGAAAGTATTCACCCCCCATTTGGCATTTTTCCTATTTTGTTGCCTTACAACCTGGAATTAAAATTGATTTTTTGTGGGTTTGTATCATTTGATTTACACAACATGTCTACCACTTTGAAGATGCAAAATATTTTTTGGGGTGAAACATACAACAAATAAGACAAAAAAACAGAAAACTTGAGCGTGCATAACTATTCACCCCCCCAAAGTCAATACTTTGTAGAGCCACCTTTTGCAGAAATTACAGCTGCAAGTCTCTTTGGGTATGTCTCTATAAGCTTGGCACATCTAGCCACTGGGATTGTTGCCCATTCTTCAAGGCAAAACTGCTCCAGCTCCTTCAAGTTGGATGGGTTCCGCTTGTGTACAGCAATCTTTAAGTCATACCACAGATTCTCAATTGGATTGAGGTCTGGGCTTTGACTAGGCCATTCCAAGACATTTAAATGTTTCCCCTTAAACCACTCGAGCGTTGGTTTAGCAGTATGCTTAGGGTCATTGTCCTGCTGGAAGGTGAACCTCCGTCCCAGTCTCAAATCTCTGGAAGACTGAAACAGGTTTCCCTCAAGAATTTCCCTGTATTCATTCCTTCAATTCTGACCAGTTTCCCAGTCCCTGCCTTTGAAAAACATGGTGTTCTCGGGGTGATGAGAGGTGTTGGATTTGCGCCAGACATAGCGTTTTCCTTGATGGCCAAAAAGCTCAATTTTAGTCTCATCTCACCAGAGTACCTTCTTCCATATGTTTGGGGAGTCTCCCACATGCCTTTTGGCGAACACCAAACGTGTTTGCTTATTTTTTTCTTTAAGCAATGGCTTTTTTCTGTCCACTCTTCCGTAAAGCCCAGCTCTGTGGAGTGTACGGCTCAAAGTGGTCCTATGGACAAATGTGCCAATCTCCGCTGTGGAGCTTTGCAGCTCCTTTAGGGTTATCTTTGGTCTCTTTGTTGCCTCTCTGATCAATGCCCTCCTTGCCTGGTCCGTGAGTTTTGGTGGGCGGCCCTCTCTTGGCAG